CTGTAAGAGACCTCCGATGAAATGAAGCAATCTTGGCATCTTGCATCTCCCCGGCTTCTCCCTTTGTACCACACAAATCATTGATTACCTCTGGCAGGGTCCTCCTTGGCTACCTTTCCAATCCGAGGTGCAAATTGATTGGCCAAGCAATTATTTCATAAATATTCTGATTGGTAGTTAGGTTTTCCCTTCTCCCTCCCAGGCGATGATCGATCTCGCTAGCGAGGGTGTGATTGGTCGCCAGCGAGGTAAACAAAGTGAGGAGCGTGTGAGTGGTTGGTCTGTGTGCCTGTGGGAGGAGGAACTGTAGAGAACTGTTCCAACAGCTATTTAGTACTCCTGTGTTCCACTTAGTTCCCCTGGATATGTTAATCTAACATTAATAATGTACGCCTGCTTGTCCATGACGCCCTACTGGAGTGTGGGTGACAATAACATTGCTGGAAGGAAAGTCTCTCTCTTATTACAAGGAGGATTTAAACTTATTGTTTGCCCATTCAGGAGGGGGTCCCCTGGATGTTAGTGAAGGTCTCTTGATCCGAGGAGTTGGAGCTATACTCCCCTTCCTTGGACTGAACCTATTACTATTCCCCAAGCGCTGAAGGACCCTTACAGGTTTCGCATTTCCCAGTGATTATAATAACAATAATTATAACAATAATTCACAGAATTATTGAAAATAACTCGTAAACTTCCCTAGACCCGCTGTATATGGCTGACACACACAGAAACACATATTTGGGAGTCATGATAAACACGTCTCTGAAGCCAAGACAGTAGTACCTAAGAGTGCAGAATAAGGCTAACAGACTACTTGAATTTATACCAGGAATTAAGTAATGTAAATCCGGAGGTTATACGATAACTCTTTACATCATTATTAAGATCTGGGGACCACATATAGACATGAATGATAAAATTAAATCACTGTATAAGGAACCTTTCGCAAGAAGTTAGACTGAGAGTCTTGTCTTTACACTCTTAAAAGATATATAGTAAAATGAAGGGAGACATGACATGTCAACAAGTGGAAAACAGGTTTAAGGAAAGGAGATATGGAAATAGCGCTATGAATATCTAACCGAGAAAGACCTCGGGGAACTGGATTCAAGTTGGATAATCAGATATAGAAGGAGAATAATAAAGAATAGGTTTGGCAGTAGAGCTGTAGATGAGTGGAATAATTTGCAAACGAGAGGCACTGAAGCTAAAATCTTGGATAGCTTTTAAAATACGTTAGACAAATATATGAGTGACAAGGGTTAGATTTAATGAGAAAAACCTGCTTAGCATGGGCCAGTAGACCTCATATGTAAGTATGTATATTTACTGGAATAATAAAAATTACGATACTGAGGCTATGACTCACATGTGATACATAATACCTGGCACATGACAGTGATTACTGTGTCACATGTATATAACCATATAATTGAGCGAAAAAGTAATGTGAAGGACCTGGGAGTGATAATGTCAAGTAAAAGGACACAAGTGCAACTAATGTGACATTTTTATTGTGGCAACGTTTCGCTCTTCAGGAGCTTTGTCAAGCCGTTACGGTAACGGCTTGACAAAGCTTCTGGAGAATGAAACGTTGCCACAATAAAAATGTTACATTAGTTGCACTTGTGTCCTTTTACTTTACATATTGTCGGTAATTCTACCAACATTATTACAGTGATAATGTCAGAGGATCTCGCCTTCAAAGACCACAACAATGTATCTTCCGCATCTGCTAGGAAAATGATAGGATGGATACCAAGCCCATGATGATTCCCTTCAAATCGCTTGTTCTCTCTAGGCTGGTATACTGTTGTACACTAACTGCCCCCTTCAAGGCAGGCGAAATTGTTGACCTGGAGAGTGTATAAAGAACTTTCACGGCACACATAAGTACGATATGGCACCTAAATTACTGGGAACGGTTGAAGTTTCTTGGTTTGCATTTCCTGGAACGCAGGCGAGAGAGATACATGATAATATACACTTGGAAAATCCTAGAAGGATTAGTACCAAACTCACACACAAAAATCACTCCCTTTGAAAGCAAAAGACTCGGCAGGAGATGCAACATTCCCCCAGTGAAAACCAGGGGCGCCACGAGTACACTGAGAGACAACACAATAAGTGTCCTCGGCCCAAGACTGTTCAACTGCCTCCCAGCAAACATAAGGGGGATTACCAATAAACCCCTGGCTGTCTTCAAGAAGGCACTGGACAGGCACCTAAACTCAGTACCTGAACCGGGCTATGATTCGTACGTCAGTTTGCGTGCGGCCAGCAGTAACAGCCTGGTTGATCAGACCCTGATCCACCACATGGCCTGGTCTCAGACTGAGCCGCGGGGGCGTTGACCCCCGAAACCCTCCCCAAGTATACTCCAGGTATACTAGGCACATACAATGATGATGGTGTCACATGTATATACCTGGCACATGAAAAATTACTGCTGCTACATTTACAGCACCAACAGGCTACTAAACCCATAACCTCGTCACCT